CACGGTGGTGGCGTTGATGGGTGTGGCAGACCTTGATTCAGGTGTGAACGGACAGGTGGTCTGCAGTGTGCCGGGTCATTTACCTTTTGACTTAAAGCCATCCCCTGACGGACACTCATACTCTTTAGTCACCAAAGAATACCTTGATAAGGAAAAGATAAATGTCTATAATATTATGATAACGGCTAAAGATCTAGGCAGCCCCGCCTTGTCATCTACAAAGGTGATACAGGTAGATGTGCTCGATGTTAACGATAATAGTCCTTTGTTCATTGGAAGCCCTTATACTTTTTATGTGCCAGAAAACAACAAGGCTGGAATGTCAATTTTTTCAGTTAGCGCAGTAGATGCTGATGGAGGTGAAAATGCAGCAGTCACATATTCACTCAACCGTAAAAGTCCGGGGCACACTGTAACCTCTTTTCTAAATATAAATGAAGCAAATGGCACAATATCAGCGCTAAAAAGTTTCGACTTTGAAACTCTGAAAACGTTCCAGTTCCAAGTTGTTGCCTCAGATTCTGGAACTCCGTCACTGAGCAGCAACGTCACAGTGAACGTGTTCATTCTGGATCAGAACGACAACGCTCCAGTCATCCTGTATCCAGTCAGCTCTAACGGTTCTGCTGAAGGTGTGGAGGAGATTCCCCGCAATGTGAACGCAGGACACTTGGTGACTAAAGTCAGAGCCTATGACGCTGATATAGGATATAACGGCTGGTTACTCTTTTCACTGCAGCAAGTCACTGACCACAGTCTCTTTGGTTTGGACCGCTATACAGGACAGATCAGAACACTTCGCTCCTTCACAGAGACAGACGAGGCTGAGCACAAACTGCTCATACTGGTCAAAGACAATGGGAACGTGTCGCTCTCAGCAACAGCTACTGTGGTGGTCAAACTTGTGGAGCCCAAAGAGGCTTTTGCAGCTTCTGATGTTAAAAGTTCAGCCAAAGATGAGGAGGGGACCGATGTGACTTTTTATCTGATGATAACTTTGGGCTCAGTTTCTGTACTTTTTCTCATCAGTATCATCGTGCTGATTGCAATGCAGTGCTCCAAAACCACAGACTACACTTCTAAATATCTGCAAGAGACTAATTATGACGGGACACTGTGCCACAGCATCCAGTACAGATCTGGAGAGAAACGGTACATGTTAGTTGGACCCAGAATGAGTATAGGATCTACTATAGTCCCGGGCAGCCACGCGAACACACTAGTGCTCCCTGACAGGAGGAGGGGATCTGGAGAGGTAAGGCAAGCAAATTCTAACAAATACAGTCTTTGCCTGATTGTGGCTGCTGTCCATGGTTCTGAAATGCTTTTTTATTTTTTCTGTAATCAAGAAAAATACAATACTTAGAACTTGTTTGGGAATACTACAGTAGTTTGTTTTTGACAGCCACAGCTCTAAACAGTGGACAGTGGAAATTTCTGTTGTGCGAGTTTAAATACTGAGGTACATTTGAATGAGAAATACACTATGAGCCTGATTATGACTGCTTTCCATGGTTATTGAAGTACATTCACTATTTATGCTCAAACAGAACAAAAAAAAAAAACAAGTAATCAAGCAATAATAATGTTAGAGGCATAAGAGAAGTTATGTATTACTAATGTATTAGTAATGTATTACTTTCTTTTGATTACCTCCGGGTGTCACTGTAACAGCAGGAAACGATGTAACACTTTGTCCCACCCCTTAAAGCGCTTTTGTTTGTCATCCACAACAGGGCAGGCATTTTAATCTATCTCGCAAGCCGATGAATTCATGTCATGCATTTTGTAACTATGCGATAAGCTACTCATGGGGTTAGACATAAATATTTTTATATCGCAGTAAAGCCCTTTCTTGTCTTTTCTCTAAGTTTTAGTTTAATGATGGGGACCGATAGACAAAGTCGACACAGCGGGTACTATTCAATTGTCTTTCATTTGGCTGTACTGATTTTTTTCGGAAAACAAGCGTTTGCTCAGATAAGGTACTCTATCGCAGAGGAGGTCGAGGACGGAACTGTTGTTGGAAATGTTGCGAAGGATCTTGGCCTTGACATCACCTCTTTGAATGACCGACGGTTCCGTGTTGTGTCTGGATCTAAGGACACGTATTTTGAGGTAAACCAGGACAATGGGGCTCTGTATGTGCTGAAGAAAATCGACAGAGAGGAGCTCTGTCAGGGTAGTGGTGCCTGCCTGATGGAGCTAAAAATCCTGGTCGAAAACCCTTTGGAAATGCACTATGTAATAGTAGAAATTACTGATGTAAATGACCACTCTCCCAGTTTCCCAGAAAAAGAACAGAAATTTGAAATAGGTGAACAAACATTACCAGGAAGGCGATTTCAACTGCACACTGCTCGTGATCCCGATGCTGGAATTAACTCTATTCGTACATACACTTTGACTTCAAATGAGCATTTTGAAGTAGACATCCGTCAAAGCGATGAGGATAAAATACCAATTTTAGTGCTGAAGAAATCGTTAGACAGAGAACAAAAGGACAAACACACGCTGCTGGTTACAGCAGTTGATGGAGGAAAACCTCAACGATCAGGCACACTAAATGTTTCTATTATTGTTCTGGACAGTAATGATAACCGTCCAATGTTTAGTCAGGAGAGTTATCAAATTACAATACAGGAAAATGTTCCCGTCGGTACTTCAGTGTTTAGAATGAATGCAACTGATCCAGATGAAGGCATCAACAGCGAAGTTGAATACAGCCTTGGAAAAACTCTAAAGAAAAACGTCTATGACGTTTTTGAATTAGACAAATTAACCGGAGAGATTAGAATAAAAGGAGCAGTAGACTATGAAGAAAACGACATTTATAAACTGGATGTTGAGGCATCAGATAAAGGGACACCTCCATTAACCGGTGAGTGTAGAGTCATTATAAAGATATTAGACGTTAATGATAATCCACCAGAAATAGAAGTCACATCGCTGTCAAATACAGTGTCTGAAGACTCGAAGCCTGGAACAGTTATTTCACTACTTAGTGTGACGGATAAAGACTCCGGTGTCAATGGAAAGATAGTATCAAGCATAATAAATGAAGTACCTTTTGAATTAAAGCCTTCCTACAAGGAAAACATATATTCAGTTGTCACAAAGGGATTTTTGGATCGAGAGGAGGTGTCACATTATGAAATAACAATAAAAGCTACAGACTGTGGTGAACCTCCTTTATCTACCTTTAAAACTCTGAGCATCCAGATATCAGATGTAAATGACAACAGACCGCAATTCTCTCAAAATACATTACAGTTTTATCTGGTAGAAAATAACGTAGCTGGAGCGTCGATATTCTCCGTGAGCGCAACGGACAAAGACTTAAATGACAACGCAGTTATTTCATATCACATTGTGAGAGAAGGGAGCCAAAATGATATAATGTCTTTCCTCAACATAAACTCTGAAAACGGACAAATATCAGCGCTAAAAAGTTTCGACTTTGAAACTCTGAAAACGTTCCAGTTCCAAGTTGTTGCCTCAGATTCTGGAATTCCGTCACTGAGCAGCAACGTCACAGTGAACGTGTTCATTCTGGATCAGAACGACAACGCTCCAGTCATCCTGTATCCAGTCAGCTCTAACGGTTCTGCTGAAGGTGTGGAGGAGATTCCCCGCAATGTGAACGCAGGACACTTGGTGACTAAAGTCAGAGCCTATGACGCTGATATAGGATATAACGGCTGGTTACTCTTTTCACTGCAGCAAGTCACTGACCACAGTCTCTTTGGTTTGGACCGCTATACAGGACAGATCAGAACACTTCGCTCCTTCACAGAGACAGACGAGGCTGAGCACAAACTGCTCATACTGGTCAAAGACAATGGGAACGTGTCGCTCTCAGCAACAGCTACTGTGGTGGTCAAACTTGTGGAGCCCAAAGAGGCTTTTGCAGCTTCTGATGTTAAAAGTTCAGCCAAAGATGAGGAGGGGACCGACGTGACTTTTTATCTGATGATAACTTTGGGCTCAGTTTCTGTACTTTTTCTCATCAGTATCATCGTGCTGATTGCAATGCAGTGCTCCAAAACCACAGACTATACTTCTAAATATCTGCAAGAGACTAATTATGACGGGACACTGTGCCACAGCATCCAGTACAGATCTGGAGAGAAACGGTACATGTTAGTTGGACCCAGAATGAGTATAGGATCTACTATAGTCCCGGGCAGCCACGCGAATACACTAGTGCTCCCTGACAGGAGGAGGGGATCTGGAGAGGTAAGATATTGAAAACAATGTGACGTACAAAATGTCTATATGCATCTCTTTCTCTCATTGAATTTTGCCCAATTGCCTATTTTATATTTATCATCTTTCTAAAAACCCTAGTACATAGAACACTAATCAGCAGCTCAAACAAACTCGAACATATAGTACAAGTCTGATCAATTGTGATGCTTATTATTTGCATCTGTAGGTTAGTCCGATTCACAAGACAGAATTTGCTGTTTCTATAGCAAGAGATATTTGTATTCCAGCGTAGCAAAATTTCTTTGTTTTGTCAATAAGAGGCTCACTGCTTCACACAGTTGTGTCTATTCTTCACTTATCACGTGTTTGTCATTTTCAAGCAGATGAAAGCTGGTAAATACCAAACGCTTTGTTCAGATCTCTATCCATGGTGCTGAAAGGGAAATACTTTCTTGTCTATACAGAACTTAGTGCACGAAGAAATTAAATAAACTAAATCCATGGTATTTTTTAACAACTTAAACTATTATTCTTTTGCTACATCATTGAGAGACAATCTACACATATTTTTTTTGCTACACAAAGTAAACTCCTTGAGCAGGTGTTTAGATGCTGTAAATTTAAGACGCATATGAGGCAACTGGGTATGTTTGTTTTTAAATTGAGTTATATAATAGCCTTTTACTTTCCCAGTGACCTCTGGGTGTCAGTATTACATCGGGAAATCATAGGAAACGTTGACCCTCCCCTCAAAAAGCTTTTGTTTGCCCACTGTGAAAACCAGAGAAGGCATTTGAGTTGAGCTCGCTACCCGATGGAATCGTGTTGTGCTATTTCTACATTTGCGACAAAAACGGGTTGGATGCAGACATTCATTGCAGCAACGGGCTTTGGTGTATTAATGTATTGTTTTATAACGATGGGGTTCGAAACACAAACTAGGAGAACGGTCTGTTCCTGGTTTGCTTTTCATTTGGCTCTACTGCTGTTTGTCGGAAAACGGGCTTTGGCGGAAATAAGGTACTCTATTCCAGAGGAGGTGAAATATGGAACTGTTGTTGGAAATGTTGCGAAGGATCTTGGCCTTGACATCACCTCTTTGTTTGACCGACGGTTCCGTGTTGTGTCTGAATCTAAGGATGCATTTTTTGAGGTAAACCAGGACAATGGGGCTCTGTATGTGCTGAAGAAAATCGACAGAGAGGAGCTCTGTCAGGGTAGTGGTGCCTGCTTGACGGAGCTAAAAATCCTGGTCGAAAACCCTTTGGAAATACACTATGTAGCAGTAGAAATTACTGATGTAAATGACCACTCTCCTAGTTTCCCAGAAAAAGAACAAAGATTTGAAATAGGTGAACAAATATTGCCAGGAAGGCGATTTCAACTGCACACTGCTCGTGATCCCGATGCTGGAATTAACTCTATTCGTACATACACTTTGACTTCAAACGATCACTTTGAAGTAGACATCCGTCAAAGCGATGAGGATAAAATACCATTTTTAGTGCTGAAGAAATCGTTAGACAGAGAACAAAAGGACAAACACACGCTGCTGGTTACAGCAGTTGATGGAGGAAAACCTCAACGATCAGGCACACTAAATGTTTCTATTATTGTTCTGGACAGTAATGATAACCGTCCAATGTTTAGTCAGGAGGTTTATCAAATTACAATACAGGAAAATGTTCCCGTCGGTACTTCAGTGTTTAGAATGAATGCCACAGATCCAGATGAAGGCATCAACAGCGAAGTTGAATACAGCCTTGGAAAAACTCTAAAGAAAAACGTCTATGATATTTTTGAATTAGACAAATTAACCGGAGAGATTAGAGTAAAAGGTGTGGTGGACTATGAAGAAAATGACGTTTATAAACTGGATGTTGAGGCATCAGATAAAGGAACACCTCCATCAGCGGGTGAGTGTAGAGTCATTATAAAGATATTAGACGTCAATGATAATCCACCGGAAATAGAAGTCACATCGCTCTCAAATTCAGTGTCCGAAGACTCAAAGCCTGGAACAATTGTATCCCTCATTAGTGTGAAGGACAAAGACTCTGGTGTCAATGGAAAAATAATATCAAGCATAACCTCAGACGTGCCTTTTGAATTAAAGCCTTCTTACAAGGAAAACATATATTCGGTTGTCACGAAAGGATTTTTGGATCGAGAGGAGGTGTCACATTATGAAATAACAATAAAAGCCACAGACTGTGGTGAACCTCCCTTATCTACCTTTAAAACTCTGAGCATTCATATATCCGATGTAAATGACAACAGACCGCAATTCTCTCAAAATACATTACAGTTTTATCTGATAGAAAATAACGTAGCTGGAGCGTCGATATTCTCCGTGAGCGCAACGGACAAAGACTTAAATGACAACGCAGTTATTTCATATCACATTGTGAGAGAAGGGAGCCAAAATGATATAATGTCTTTCCTCAACATAAACTCTGAAAACGGACAAATATCAGCGCTAAAAAGTTTCGACTTTGAAACTCTGAAAACGTTCCAGTTCCAAGTTGTTGCCTCAGATTCTGGAACTCCGTCACTGAGCAGCAACGTCACAGTGAACGTGTTCATTCTGGATCAGAACGACAACGCTCCAGTCATCCTGTATCCAGTCAGCTCTAACGGTTCTGCTGAAGGTGTGGAGGAGATTCCCCGCAATGTGAACGCAGGACACTTGGTGACTAAAGTCAGAGCCTATGACGCTGATATAGGATATAACGGCTGGTTACTCTTTTCACTGCAGCAAGTCACTGACCACAGTCTCTTTGGTTTGGACCGCTATACAGGACAGATCAGAACACTTCGCTCCTTCACAGAGACAGACGAGGCTGAGCACAAACTGCTCATACTGGTCAAAGACAATGGGAACGTGTCGCTCTCAGCAACAGCTACTGTGGTGGTCAAACTTGTGGAGCCCAAAGAGGCTTTTGCAGCTTCTGATGTTAAAAGTTCAGCCAAAGATGAGGAGGGGACCGATGTGACTTTTTATCTGATGATAACTTTGGGCTCAGTTTCTGTACTTTTTCTCATCAGTATCATCGTGCTGATTGCAATGCAGTGCTCTAAAACCACAGACTATACTTCTAAATATCTGCAAGAGACTAATTATGACGGGACACTGTGCCACAGCATCCAGTACAGATCTGGAGAGAAACGGTACATGTTAGTTGGACCCAGAATGAGTATAGGATCTACTATAGTCCCGGGCAGCCACGCGAATACACTAGTGCTCCCCGACAGGAGGAGGGGATCTGGAGAGGTAAGCCACTTAATTTATTTATTTTTTCTCTATAAAACATGGTTACAAGCATACAGCTATTTGTCATAGTTTCTATTATATAATATTGGCTCCTTTATCAGAGAAAGTGGTCGTTTGTATAGAAACAGACATTTGGGTCAGTGTAGCAAAACGCTTGATGTAGCTTGATAGCTCTATATTAAAAACAGCTACTGTGTCCTAATCTGGTCTATTATTCATGTAGCCTCCATACACTCTTGATTACAAATACATAATACAGCTTATCATTTGTAAAGAGGACAGTCTTTGTTACCATTGTCTTTGGTGCTGAAATGAAAAGTTTACTCTTTTCCTGCAAAACAGAGTAATTATACTCTATATTTGGGAACATGTGGGCATTGAGTTTTTGACAGCTAGGTCTCAAAATAATCCTACTTCTAACCAATTACTGACTGAAACGTTTGAAGTTTGGCATGTTTCAGTGTTTCTGTAGAGTTGCCTGAACAGTATACATACAGTAGATTTAGTTAGAGGGGAAGGCTGTGCTACGACTTGTGCTTGTTTTCTGTGATGCTGAAATACATGAACACCTTAAACAGCAATTCATTGTTTAAGGAACATATTGGACGCTTATATTTAAATGGTAATTTCATACGCCTGTTGGTGAGACTAGAGGAAGACTATAGAGTCATTTTTGTTTTTTAAAAAAAAAAAACGATTATAAAGGAAAGTCTGGTTTTAGTAATCACCTCTGGGTGTCACTATTATAAAGGGAAACCAGACACGACTTTGTCCCTCCCCTCACCAACCTTTTCTTTCCCATCTGAGCAGAGCAAAGAAACACTTGAATCAACCACAACAGCCGATGAAATCACGTTGTGTGTTCTTTAAAGATGCGATACTCCACGGGATGGACATAAATAATTGTTTGTCGCAGTAAAAGGCTCCTGTGTGTATATGTGTTGTTGGATAATGATGGGGACCGGCACGAAAACTCGAACAACGGACTGCTCCTGGTTTCTTTTGGCACTACTGCTGCTTTTCGGAAAACAGGCTTTGGCTCAGACAAGGTACTCTATTCCAGAGGAGGTAGAAGAGGGAACTGTTGTTGGAAATGTTGCGAAGGATATTGGCCTTGACATCACCTCTTTGAATGATCGACGGTTCCGAGTCGTCTCTGAAAGTAAGGACCCTATTTTTGAAGTCAACCAGATCAATGGGGCATTGTACGTTCAAAAGCATATTGACAGAGAGGAGCTCTGTCAGGGGAGCGGTGCTTGTCTAATAGAGCTAAAAATCCTTGTTGAAAACCCTTTGGAAATACACTATGTAATCGTAGAAATCACCGATGTAAATGATCATTCTCCTGCTTTTCCTGAGAGAGAACAGATATTTGAAATAGGTGAACAAACATTACCAGGAAGGCGATTTCAACTACACACTGCTCGTGATCCCGATGCTGGAATTAACTCAATACGTACATACACTTTGACGTCAAATGAGTATTTTGAAGTAAATATTCGTGAAAGCGATGCGGGTAAAATACCATTTTTAGTGCTGAAGAAATCGTTAGACAGAGAACAAAAGGACAAACACACGCTGCTGGTTACAGCAGTTGATGGAGGAAAACCTCAACGATCAGGCACACTAAATGTTTCTATTATTGTTCTGGACAGTAATGATAACCGTCCAATGTTTAGTCAGGAGGTTTATCAAATTACAATACAGGAAAATGTTCCCATCTGTACTTCAGTATTTCAAATGAATGCAACTGATTCCGACGAAAGCATCAACAGCGAAGTTGAATACAGCCTTGGAAAAACCTTGAGGCAGAAAGTGTATGATATTTTTGAGTTGGACAAATTAACTGGAGAGATTAGAATAAAAGGTGTAGTGGACTATGAAGAAAACGACGTATATGAACTGGACGTTGAGGCATCAGATAAAGGGACACCTCCATTAACCGGTGAGTGTAGAGTCATTATAAAGATATTAGACGTTAATGATAATCCACCAGAAATAGAAGTCACATCGCTGTCAAATACAGTGTCTGAAGACTCAAAGCCTGGAACAGTTATTTCACTTATTAGTGTGAAGGACAAAGATTCCGGTGTCAATGGAAAAATTATTTCGCACATATCCAACGACGTACCTTTTGAACTAAAGCCCTCTTACAAGGAAAACACGTACTCAGTTGTCACAAAGCGATTTTTGGATCGAGAGGAGGTGTCACATTATGAAATAACAATAAAAGCTACAGACTGTGGTGAACCTCCCTTATCTACCTTTAAAACTCTGAGCATCCAGATATCAGATGTAAATGACAACAGACCGCAATTCTCTCAAAATACATTACAGTTTTATCTGGTAGAAAATAACGTAGCTGGAGCGTCGATATTCTCCGTGAGCGCAACGGACAAAGACTTAAATGACAACGCAGTTATTTCATATCACATTGTGAGAGAAGGGAGCCAAAATGATATAATGTCTTTCCTCAACATAAACTCTGAAAACGGACAAATATCAGCGCTAAAAAGTTTCGACTTTGAAACTCTGAAAACGTTCCAGTTCCAAGTTGTTGCCTCAGATTCTGGAACTCCGTCACTGAGCAGCAACGTCACAGTGAACGTGTTCATTCTGGATCAGAACGACAACGCTCCAGTCATCCTGTATCCAGTCAGCTCTAACGGTTCTGCTGAAGGTGTGGAGGAGATTCCCCGCAATGTGAACGCAGGACACTTGGTGACTAAAGTCAGAGCCTATGACGCTGATATAGGATATAACGGCTGGTTACTCTTTTCACTGCAGCAAGTCACTGACCACAGTCTCTTTGGTTTGGACCGCTATACAGGACAGATCAGAACACTTCGCTCCTTCACAGAGACAGACGAGGCTGAGCACAAACTGCTCATACTGGTCAAAGACAATGGGAACGTGTCGCTCTCAGCAACAGCTACTGTGGTGGTCAAACTTGTGGAGCCCAAAGAGGCTTTTGCAGCTTCTGATGTTAAAAGTTCAGCCAAAGATGAGGAGGGGACCGACGTGACTTTTTATCTGATGATAACTTTGGGCTCAGTTTCTGTACTTTTTCTCATCAGTATCATCGTGCTGATTGCAATGCAGTGCTCCAAAACCACAGACTATACTTCTAAATATCTGCAAGAGGCTAATTATGACGGGACACTGTGCCACAGCATCCAGTACAGATCTGGAGAGAAACGGTACATGTTAGTTGGACCCAGAATGAGTATAGGATCTACTATAGTCCCGGGCAGCCACGCGAATACACTAGTGCTCCCTGACAGGAGGAGGGGATCTGGAGAGGTAAGACATTAAGAAATATGTTTAGGATTCATTTCTTTTTTTGGTTGCCCTTTTCTGGAAGTTTCTTCTTATCTTGTCCGTAAATATCATTCACAGCATACTCAAACATATACTTTTTGTTAAGTGTGTTATATTATCTACAAATGTTAATGAGTTTGTTAAGTTTCTTCTGAATTCTATCCTTCATTCATCACACTAAGAGCTTGTTTATTAAGAAAGGGATGCAACATTGCAAATAAATAGGATCAGCAAAACAAAGTATTTATAATCAGGTTGGGGGAATATGTGGGCATTAAGTTTCTCAATGTTTGGTCTCAGATTAATGCAACTTCTAACCAACAATTGAATGACAGTTTGAAAATGTAGCAGTTTTCTTTTGAGTCTTTTGAGCAGTATGTATGGACCTACCCAGTGAAAAAGAAATATAATTAAGTAGCACTTTTTTTGGATGCACTTATCATATTTTAATTGTACTATACTAAGTGTATATTAAATGTGTTATTTTGGAACAACTTAAAGTATGTTAAGTGTCATTTTAGAAATACTTAAAGTCAATTTTAAGACAATTACAATATATTTTAATATACTTAGTTGTGTTAAAATGGACCTACTTTAAGTACCTTTACTATAATTTAAATATACTTCTTTAAATTTAACTTAAAATACTTTTGTGCTATACTTGAAGAACAGTTTAAATATATTTTAAACTTCACATAAATGTGTTCTCTGAACATTTTTATTAGCATTTCAGCATATTAGTAATTTATTACTAGTATACTCCAAGAGCCACTATTAATATCTTGGGAAGCTGCTTCATGAAACCATTCAGTATGAGAATAATTCATTATTAATGCATTAAAAATACCTTGCAAAATGCCCTTTTAGCATAATAATAAAAAAAAAATCAGTTAAAAAAGTATTTTACAAGATACACACATACAGACAACTAAAAACTTAAATTTTGTGTACATTACAAAATAGATTCCTGTACATTAAAAGGTATAGCAGCATGTATCACATCTTGACCAAAATACCTTCAAATAAAAATAAAATCAGTAAAATGATGGCATATGATCAGTATTACTGAAAAGTACACTATACACATCCCATCATTAATGTTACCTATAGTGGTCCCTCATATGGTTCAGACTCTGGGCACAGCTCAGATGACCTCAAGGCAAGCTATCCCACTTCTGACACCATATGCAGCCAAAGGCGAGAGCAGTTATCCTACCCAGATTCAAACACAGGTCTAAAGGGTACCAAACATGCAACTTTGACAGCAACTGCAAAGACCAGGCTCCTTGGTATGGATGATGATCGTTAATTTTTATTGATATTGATACCCTTAAACTGCTTAACGATCCGATTTTTTATCTATACCACTATCGATACTTTACTATTATTTAGTGATGGTAATTTAGTAAGACCAGACCCAAAGGGCATGAGTTAGGCCTGCAGGGTATGAGGAAAATATTTAATGTGTGATAACGTTAAATATTGAGATGACATAACACTTAATATGATAAAATAAAATGAATGAACAAACATATATTGAAGTGTACATATTAACTGCCTGGTTGTTTTTAATTTAATATTTTAAATCCAGCTAAATGTTGTTTCTAGAGCAGCAACATTAATGTTTACAGCAGCAAAATAACTCCCTAACTTTATCTGACATCACAAGTAGTGAGTGATGTTTAGAAAGAATAACATCAGTCTGTATCAGTCCCTCCTCCTCTCTCGCTGGCTGCAGGTAACCTTAC